GCCATTCCAGGTAGGAGGGAAGGCAGTTTGAGCACTGAGGTGACACGCACTGGAACAAGTCCCTAAGAGCTGTGGGTGGTTTCTTAATCAGATCAAAAATCATTCATAGAGTTATGGAATATCCTGAACTGGAAAGGACCCCAGGGACCATCCAGTCCAACCCCTGGCCCTGCCCAGGACACCCCAACAATCCCCCCCTGTGCCCCAGAGGATCATCCAAACCCTCCTGGAGCTCTGGCAGCCTTGGGGCTGTGCCCACTGCCCTGGGGAGCCTGGGCAGTGCCAACCACCCTCTGGGGGAAGAACCTTGTCCTGAGATCCAACCTGACCCTGCCCTGGCACAGCTCCAGCCCTTCCCTGGGTGCTGTCCCTGGGAAAGGCACTTCTGTGGCCCAGATGGCACCAAAATTCCGACAGTGTGGCCAGAACACTTCTCTCCCGTCTGGAGACCCGTGAGAGCGGGAGCAGCGGCGCTGCACCGTGTGTGTGCAGGAGGCTCAGCTTTCCAAAGGCAGGGAATGCTGGGCTCAGCTGGGCTCCACGCGGCTCGTTTTCCCGCAGCTGGGGCACAGCGAAGTGCTGGAGCCGTGAGCGCCGTGGATAACGATGCTGTCACACGAGCGCTTCAGGAAGAGCCTGTGCTGGCCAGCGCCCGCTCCCGAGGCCGGGAAGCGGGAAGGGAGCTCCTGCCATCTCGTGGAGACCAGCGCTCTGCTCCACATCACACAGCCCGCACGGCACACGGGGCTCCTCCTTCCCCGGCACCCCCGGAATGCTCGTGAGCCAGCCCTTCCCACCGGGATGCAGCGGGAAACGCCCTCAGTGAGGAGCCCCCGGCAGTGCAGGTACCACGGGCGGCAGCAGGACAAGTGGGCGACCCGGCCACGGGGCTGAGAGGCCCGGGATGGGTTGGGTGGGAAGGGACTTAAAGCCCATCCAGTGCCACCCCTGCCATGGGCAGGGACACCTTCCACCAGCCCAGGCTGCTCCAACCTGGCCTTGGACACTTCCAGGGATCCAGGGGCAGCCACAGCTTCTCTGGGCAACCTGGGCCAGGAAGTGTCCAAAACACCTGTGGATGTGGCACTCGAGGACACGGCTCAGGGGTGAACACGGTGCTGGCTGGACTCGATGACCTCAGGGGTTAACACAGGCCATGGTATCCCAGCTGCCAGTCCATTATTCCATAGAATATCTCTCCAGCCATGAATAAAGTTCAAATAAAGGGCAAACCTTGCACAGCAAAACAAATTAGTTGCACGAAGGCATTTGCATTCCCAGCAAAATGACTAAATAAGCAGGGGCAGGATGAATGCAAATGGATTCACTGCTGATACACTGAGAGCAAAACTCAGGCCCCAAACAGTAAATCCCACATCCCCACTGCTGGAAGCACAGCCTGCAGAGCCTCCTCACGTGTCTGCCCAGAGACCCGGAGCAAATAGTAAGAAACGGTATAAAAATTATTGTACCTGCTCATAAATCCAATGTTTTTCCAAACAAACAATATCCAACCTCTCAAAGGTAACAATGATTGTTGGGAGATCCCAAAGGTACATTGGAAGTCACAGATCAAACCTCATTTCAGCTCTTTCTGTTTGGAGAAAGTCACCCAGCTTGTTTGGCAAGAAATGACCTCTGTGACCAAAACCATCCCTCAGTCCTATCAGAAAGAGTGAGACCAGAGCCCAAACTGGCATCAGCAATTTGCAGCAGGGAAAGGTTTAAACAGGTTTAACAAAGGCTGTTCTGCATTTTAAAGCCAGTAATGACTGAGCCTGTACAGACCTGTATATGTATAAATACATGAAATGTGGTTTTCTTCCACCGACCCCAAACAAAAGAAGCATTAGGGGTGGTTTTTTTCCAGCCATACAATTAATGGATTTAAGATCTCAAAAATCTGAAAGAAGGGCAAACTCCAGACATTTATTCCTATGTCTCTATACTTATTACATGTATATATAATTTATAGGATTGCTTCATTGGCAGGACCTGTCAAAAGCGCCTTCCCAAAAAAGAAAAAAAAAAACCTTAAACATTTCCATGAAAAAACATGGAAAAGCACAGACCCCTCAGCCAAACAGCATGCAAGTGCTGTTTTGGTGGGTTTTTTTTCTGTTTTCACACACACTTGTAGTGACCTGACTGAGGTTACTGGGCTTTATGTGCTTCACCCAGACTTTCTGGCTTGTGTTTCTGCAGCTGCTGCCCAAATAACTTACACCAGCCAAGCCAGGAAGCTCCAGCAGCATGGACTGTGGAGTGCATCTCCACGGGGAACTGAAGAGGGAGGAGGTGTGACAGAGGGCCTTGGGAAACCCTTTGTAATGCAACCATGATCTGTCCCATTAGGAATCCCATTTTTCCAGGCAGATTTCGGTTGGCATCCGCAGTTTCCCCAAACAGAACCATCAGGATGCCCAATTTCAGGTCCTTCCTGGCAATTCCTGAGATTAACATGGATACATCCCTAATAAAATACAATGGGTTTCCTTTTAGACCCGCAGCACAACAAGCTGAGAAGGCTCACAAGTCACTTGGAGGTGTGACCTGGAACCCAATTTGCACTTTATGGATTATCTAATTGTCTCCAGGTGTAGCTGCTCTCCCCAGAACCAGCTCTGCTGGGCACACACAGCTGCTGCTGCAGCCACACACTCAACAGTCACATTAACTCTTGTTTCCTCAACAGCTTTCTCTGCTTAGTCTGGATTAGCCTTTTTCCCTCTATGTAATCAACCTCATCTCTTCCTTTATGGAACAACAAAACAGCAAAAAAGCTTAAAAATTACACAAGAAATGTTATTTCTGAAAAAAAAAAAAAAAAAAGAGCTTTTCTGGCAGAGAATAAGTTTAGATAGGATTTCAGAAGGAATTCCGGGCTGGGAGGGCGGGGAGGCCCGGGGAAAGGTTCCCAAGGAAGGTGTGGCTGCCCCTGGATCCCTGGAAGTGTCCAAGGCCAGGTTGGAGCAGCCTGGGCTGGTGGAAGGTGTCCCTGCCCATGGCAGGGGGTGGAATGGGATGAGCTTTAAGGTCCCTTCCAACCCAACCCATTCTGGAATTCTGTGCAGGAACCCTCACTGGCATCAGGTGGTACAGACAAGAGGGGACTCGCTTAGTCATGCTAAAAAAAATTATAATAAGAATTCTACAACTGCCTAAATTACAGCCACAAATCTCACACACATGCTTTGTCACCAGAAAAAAAAAAGAATTTCCACTCCCTTGACTTTGTGTGGATCCGTTTTTGCTCCTGAAAGGAAGCACTGTGGTGGCTGCTGCAAAGAACTGGAGCAAAGCAAATTTCCTTTGCTTTTGCTGATTCAGGCAGAAGCTGAGCTGATAAGTACCCAAGAAACTATGGGAGCACTAAGTTATTGTCAGAGATAAGGAGGAAACTGTGGGTCGAACGGGGGGATTTGTGCTTCTTAGGGAGGAGCCAGTGAAGCCGTGCCAGCTGTGTGGAGCCAGGGGACCACAAACCACGGTCAGACACACGGCAACTCCTGTGAAATCTAAACGCAGCCCTTCCCCTCCATTCCTGTTTTAACTGTTCCACCTGCTCCTTCCCTCCTCCCCGGTGCCTGCAGAGACCTCTTCTCTCCTCCTTCCAGCTCCTGCCCCCCTCCCCTGACACACACCTACCTGTGATCCGTAACACAGACACCCGTGGAACACTGACACC